GTTTTGTACCTGTACATAAAGGTACAAATTAGTCACTAGAGGTACAGAAATGTTCTTTTAAAGGTACAGACAATAAGGTACAAAATTGTTCCTAGGTTTGGAGGTACAATATTGTCCTCCACTAGGGTACAGCTGGAGCGACAAAGCCTTTGTACCTTTTTAGGTCCATATCTGTACCTCTATTTTTTTGTGTGTAGAACCAAGCTGCTGTTCTTCATAATGGAGCAATAATAATAGCTCTTAGAACTCTATCCCTCTGGATTTTCATCAACACCCTACTTAACATACAGAAAGGTGGAATGATGTATGGCTGATGATTTGTCCATGAAATGGAGAAAGCATCACGGGCACAGGCCTCCAAGACACAAATTTATCAAGTTGAGAATTGTGCCTATTAGCAAACAAGTCTATGTCTGGGAGAAAACTGACAACAAATGCTAGAAAATATCTCAGGTTTTAGTTTCCAATCTGAACCATCTGAAAACACTCTAGTGTGTCTGCCACTGAGTTATGTTCCCCAGGCACATGCTGTGCAGTAATGTCATTCATGTAAGCCACTGCAGCTGTACTGTCAGATTGAATGCATACATGTAAAACACAAGACTGACTGAAAACAGCCTTAAGACAGAGAAACCCACTGGACCTTTATGTTATTCACCCACCAGTTGCTATTGAATGTATGGATAATCATACCAATAAATCTGGCCAGCAGCCTGATTGTAATCTTGTCTGCTGTAAGTATGACGTGAGCCTCCGCCAAAAAAGGCATTTATCCGTCTGTCAGCCAGATACACTCTGAATGTTACGGAGTCCATAACAAAACCAAAACACTATCTTATTAGTGGGAGTCTGAACAGACTTCTCAAAATTGATATAAAATCCTAGCTTTTCCAACTTTGTAACCATAAGTTGAGTCTGGGCAGCACTCTGCGATAACACCTGATTCATGATCAATGAATCATCATTATAAAAAGTGCAACGGATGCCTTGTTGTCTGAACCAAGCAAACACTGCTTTAATTACTTTCGTAAACACTCGAGGTGCTGAGCTAATGCCAAATGGTAACACCTGATGTTCATGCAGAATGTCCCTCCAATAAAATCTGAGGAATTTTCTGAAGTCTGCATGAATCATAATGCTAAAATATGCATTACGTAAATCCAGAGATGTGAAATAATCATTCTCTTGGGTAATGTCTAGTAGCTTTGTGAAAACAGCTCCATCTTGAAATGCTCGTCTCTGTTTTCCTTTTAAGGCAGTCAAGCCATTTTCAATTTTGCTGCATTCTTTCTTGCAAAGCTGGTCACTAACAGCAATTTTACAGGTTAACCATAGCACAGAATTGAATTTGCAGCTGTACATGCTTCTTCTGCCATAGCTGACACAGCAATTCTGTACACACTGTCTTCAAGAAACCATCTGAGTTTACCATTCTTTTTTGGTCGAACAAAAAATATTAGAGATGAACTGGTCTGAAACAGGTTCTACTATCCTGACAGCACCTTTGGCTATCGTTCTGAATTTCCAGATCAAGCAGATCTGACTCTTACTCTGAGAATTGAATTTTTTAATGGTATTTGACAGCTAAAGTGGTTCAGTGACAAAGTCTATTTTATAGTCTGAAACAGAGCTCAAGGCCCACTGATCTGCTGTAATGCTTTCCCATTCACTTATGCAATAGGCTAGTTTACCAGCAGTCATGTGTATGGTCCACTGACCCGTTTGTCAATCACGATCAGGGGTTTGCCAGCCTGTCCCCTCTGATCCATGGTGTCTCCCATCTTGAAGCTGGTGTAGGCTCCTCTCTGGGACCCTCGTCGGGAGTACGGTCCCCGCCAAATGTGGCGCCGGCTTCTCACGCTTCCTCTAGCAGTCAGTCTCTTGCTGTTGTTGTACCTCCCAGGAACACCTAGGTGAGGATAACCAACAGACACCTCAGCCAGTTCATTTATCTCTTTGATCCGCTTAACCAAGTCATCATCAAACAATTTTGCTGAAATTAGCATGTCAATGGGACACAAAGAGGTGTATATTCCTTGTAATCTTGGCCGGATTAAATAACATCGTCTCACCGACAATGAGTGCATAGTATGCCTTAACAGGCTAATAGCATCAGACCACAACACTGCGCTGAACTGTCTGCGCCACCGGTAGATAAGCCATGAATGAGGCCAAACACAGTACAGGACTACTTGGTTAGGCTTGGGCAGTTTTGCAGTGTAATCTTTCCTGTTTAGTACACAGTCCTCTGACTGACCTGTTAGAGTTACAGCTGTTTAACATCTGTACCACTGACCTTTAAATCCTTTTATTGCACCTGGAATAACTTTACTGCCATCAAATGTTAAATTTGCTCACCTGTTTCAGACATTTGATATGTTTACTGTGCTTCATTGTGGATCAAGTCCAGGTTTAGAGGATTTGGAAATGATTGTTTTCTTCATATTTACAGAACTCTGCTGTAATTTCTGAAAACCCAAATCAGACTGCTGGACCCTTTTATGCAGCTGCGTCCAAATTTCCTCATTAACTTCGGGTGCCAAAAGCTTAAAATAGCAATTATTGGGAGGGTATTTATCAGTAAAACTCTTCACAGAGTCCTCACTTATTCTTTTTATACATCCCAAATCCACAATAGAGGCTAATCATTAGCTATAGCGGGTCCAATTTTCACCTCTGAGTCAGCCTGTGGAATACTCCATACCTCTGGATCTCCATCCAGATTCTCAGCAAACTCTGAGGGATCAAAATAAGATGGAGCCTGAGAGCCATCCTGCTCACCTGCACTTGCAGTGTCTGGCACCTCCCAGCCATCATTATGGGCTGGATCAATTGAATCAGACAACTCCTCTGTACTAGGTCCTCTCACAGAACTATTAGTCTGAGAATTTCGTGCCAAAGTAGCAACCGCGCTCGTCAGCGACGAGAGCTGAGACATCAGCTGATTAAGCTCCAGGCTGTGATTTCAACACACTTGTATTCAGATCAGCCTTGTGTTGCACGTTAACAACATCACTCTGTCTTAGACTGTCGAGCCGAACCGGCTGCCGTCGCCGGAAGTAGCTCGGAGCTAACACGGCTCCCCTCTTTTACCAAGGTTTAGCTTAGCTTTTGTTGCCTGCGCCACAGGTTTGTGGACATCTGGAAGCCTGACGCTTCGGTTGGTCAATCTCACCCGACACAAGAGTACACTCACCCTGAGTTCAAAAAGGCGAAAAGCCCCGAAAACTTACCCCCATTGTCTGAATCTGATCCAAACAGATCAAGCACGCCCGCTCGAACCGAGACGGGCCGGCTTCACACTCATCATCACTCCTTTCGAGACTACATCTCCACCTCTTTTTCCAAAACACCTCAAGTCCTCAGGATCTGCACTCTGGGACTGGCCGACACGCGATTACACGCCGCTTAGCAAGCTAGCATATCCCGACCAGACAGCCCCGTGGCTAATCAGGGTACAGGATTGGACTTAAACCTGCAACATTGAGTCACGGATTTACTTCCTTTTCCATTTGCAGTCTATCTGCTTTTAAATCGCCACTAAAAACTCAGTGTAAAAGGAAGAGACAGCATCTCAAATACATATCAAATCCACCACTGCGTGGTGTCAACAATACTTACCTCTCGCTCTCCTCTCTCAAACGAAAAGTGACGGAGGCAGGCTAGGAAGCCTACTTATGGGGTCGCTAGGCATCATGGGTAATTGCCTCTTTGAAGAAGAGACCTCGCTCTCACAATATCTCAAATGATGCTATTTTACCTCTCTGAGACGAAAGGCGAACGTAAATGAAAAATAATGGACAAGACTGCGTGTTGGTCTGCCCAGGCTGGTTCTCCTCGGAGCTAACCGCGCAAGAGATCGCTTTTCAGCCCAACTTCACAGACTCCCTGACTGTTAGTTAGAGATGTTAGTTTAAAGTGTATCTTACCCCCCTGTGAAAAGATAACTCCGCCCCAAGGCGAAATTTGAAAAATGCATCAAAGTGGGTAGGGGAGGGGTTGTGGGTAGGGGARKGGGGGTTAGAGAGCGGAGGTGTGGCCAGGACGAGAGAACGTGACAGGCTAGCATTAGCATAATTGATGCTACATGGAGAGTGACCACAGTATCACAGATAGTTACATCTCTGAACGTCTGAGGTGGAGGATTTTTCACCCACATCAGCCTCAGACAGAGGAGGAGGAACGCTCCGTGACAGCCTGACAGAAAAAAATAAAAGCATACAGCTGCTCACGATCGCTAGTTTAAATCA